AACATTTGAAAGTTATAAAGACCTTAGTTTTTGCGTGAAAAAACATATATATATATATATATACAAATCTTAAGTATTGATCCAAAATATCCCTCATCTAATTTTTTTTTAAAAATTCATATTTCAAAATATACATAGTCATTGACTTTTTGGAACTATGAAATCCAACACTTCAAGTTTTTTTACAATTTTTGTACATAATTTAATGCTTACAAAACTCAAAAATTTCACACGATTCAAATTTATACTCTTTTAATTGCCAAAAAATGTCAAATAATTACTACTCATGTGTCATGTTTTAGAATGTCATACATTCTAAAACATGAGCCATTCCAGATCAAGATTTGGTAAGATTGACTTCACCACATAAGGTACTGTCCTTTAGATTTATGTGTAGTTTCACAAGAAATTTATTTCATGTTTTTAGCTCGAATTTTGTTGTTCGGAATTACGTTAGATACCATCGAATCTGATATTCTAAAATATGATAATTTTTTCTTTTATTTGTTATAAATTTAACGTTTTTGTGTGATAACATACCTAGTAGTTAAAATAACTAAAGAGCAAAATGTGAATGAGTTGAAATATCGGAATATATTTGGTACATAGCGAAGTGGATTATAATGCCGGAGCTGTGCCCGAACAGATTTGGGCGAGTTACAAACGTCACATGCATTTTCGGTAAAGGTTCGTCGGTATGATTGGAGCAGCGCCATGAGCTTCGGGAGATGTAGACGCACATCCCTTACACGTCCTAACCGGGACTCGGATGTGCGTCACCTCATCCCCTCCTCAGAGAACCGGACGCAAAGATACCGGACCTCAAATTGGACGGAACATACTAAACCTCCGAAGCTCCACATCAGGCATCTGCCTGATCGCGTCCTCCTTCCGCCGCACAATCTGCAAAACGAAGACGCAAAGCAGTGAAGACCCCACGCCGGAACGGCATTCGGACGGCCACACCGCAAGCCGGAGCGCTAAAGAGTCCGCGAACTTCCACTGCCTTCATTCCGGGAACTGCTGGCAACCAGCAAAAATAATAAGCTCTGGGAGGTGGAGAGTGACCCGAGCTGCTATCTGAGGATAGGAGAGACTGACCCAGATGAACTCCTTAGCACGAAGATTGGAGATTCAATGGACAGGGCTGGATGTGGACCAGGACAGCTCGGCCGGAATGGACACATGCCGTGTACTGCCTGTTCTCCAAAATATCTACCACGTAGAAAGGGAAATGCGCTGGCCATTACCTTTGCTCATGAGAGTGTACAACATTCTTAACCGCCTAACCACTCGCATATGAAGCACGTAAACAGTGGTATGTGCTGTCCTGTACATTCGCTTCGTTCATGAAAGGGTGTTTCTTGTCTGAGCCAGGATTCTGTGTACCGAAAAGTGGTAGTGTTGTCAAAGTTGCCAAAAGTCTATATCTAGAAATTCCAACCTATTGCAGTAGGACTTCCCTGAGCCTTCCCCACTAGATTCTCATACGAAATGTTGAGGTCACGCATTTTATGACATATTTGCCTTAGCTAACGCCGAACAATTCCATGATTTCAAAAGGTATCATCTGTTTGCACTGCACGAGCACTTGGGATTCTGTTCCTGCAGGGTTTTGCATGTCTTCATTTCCTCACTGTGTCTGTAAGGCCTGCTAGGTCTGGCTCGCATGTCGATCTTCTTGTACGTACGTCGTGATCCCAAGCAAGCCAAAATTGCTCACATAATTCACTACGAGGTGATCTTTCTGGTCCAAATCTGCGAAGACTTGATAAAATCTCCTCAAACAGAGTATGTATCATTGGAAACTGTGCATATGGCTGATCCAGTTTACAGCTCTGTATTCGTGCCAGTGTGCTAGGCTGTGTAAAGATGTCTGCTTTGTACAAAAGTTTCGAAATCCTTTAAATAGCATATGAACTCTTCGTGCAGGACGAGTTATCGTGACTCGGTTATGGTTAAGTTTGTCTTCACTTCCAGAATTGCATTTGAATGAAGTCAAGCGTGGGACGACAGCTGCAAGGTTCACATAATGTAGAGTAGCATTAGCATATTGGTATCCTTCTCGGTATAATGCTCTCTTCGTGCTATCTTATCCCTTGAGGCTTGTCTTTAAAGTGCATTAACTAAGCTTGCTACGGTTCAGAGGGTTTGTCATCAGCCTTGTGTTCTAACCAGCCAGAGCGGTGCGTAACAACTGTCCACATTGGCAAGTGAAACTCTAGCGCAGAGGCGCAGGTCAATCGTCAAGCAAAATTTAGAACACTCAACAGACGGTTCCGAGTCTCATGCAACTTGACTGAACCTCGGTTTGTTTCTCTCGGCTGACATTTTGCCAAAGCTTTGATGAGAAAACTCAAAGTCTGCCACGAGCTAGATTTCTGCGTCACAACCTCGATGTAAATCAGGTAAATACAAATCGTTCTGGATTGCCAAAAGTCGTGGACATTCCAAAGCACGTAAATGAAATGTCTCCAAGGTCGGAAACCGTGTAGAATAATACGCTGCAAGCGAAGGGATATTATAATTTTCACTGTTTCAAGATGCTGATTTCTTAGAGACCTCACGGTAAGAAATGAACATTTCATAGCAAAGTTCTACATTCCAAAGTACTAGCGGATACGTCAAAGTATTATGAGTGGTTACCAAAGTTTCTTCTACTTTAGTTCTAATTCTATCTATTTTAGGCACATTGTTTCCATTGCTCATTGTTTGAGATCACTAGCAGACAAGCTAATGATATCGATACAAGAGTGATCAGGTCGGGTTGCATGTTCATATTGTTCTTAGACGTTCAAATTTTAATTCTTCTTGAGTGTGGCACATTTCCCACTGGAATGCTGTTACGGAAAGGTTTCATCTTTTGTAGCGTTTGATGGGTTCTGTCCATCTTCGTGCTGTGTTACCTGGTCCGCCGTGTTCTAGATCCGAACGAAGAGTATGTCTATCCTATCCATTCCCAAAAGTTGTAAATGACCTGGTCGTTAGGTGTAAGGATGAAAACGTCAGGTTCCAGTCAACACCATATCGTGAGTGCAGACTTTGGTATCGAAGCCACAAATGTCTCTTAGAAACGACACCAGCTAGACAAGAAGAGCGCGTATTCTTATATATGGAATCTACTTAAAGTAGGGTAGCATGCATTTTGACGATGTTGGGGCGGTGGATGTGTCCATGCTTTTTACAACTGGAATTGAACCTGGACGTTAGAGAATAAAAGAAAGCGTGGGGAGAAGTTCGCGGAGAATGTAGCCCAGCTGATCAGACAGACAGTGGTGCACTTCGTTGGATCACGGAGACCTTACGAACGTTTCGCTGCACCTCACGTGTATTCCCTCGGAATAAACTTCCTTCGATGCGGCTCAAGGTTTCACATCTTGCTTTGAGCCAGGGGTTCGACTGACTTACTTCACGTCGTTCTTGCATTTGGAGGTCTTATGTTTGGCATGTAGATAAAAGCAGGGAAAACAGTAGCCCGAGTTCTTGTTATATCTGCAAGAAGTCAAAACTGCTTAAACTATTTTGTCTAAACCTCTGGTTCGCTTAGTTTTCTGAACCCAACCTTGCTGTCCACCAATTTTTAGTACTTGAAGGCAAACGCAGCAGGTCGTCGTAATCGCGTGAAATCCTGGAGGGCAGCAACAGGACAATATTGGACGCTCTCTTAAATTAGATGAAGTGGGAAGGTGTCACTAACTCAAAATACAGTTACTCCAGCTTGCATAGCCTTGACTGAAAATGCACTGCCACCTCCAGTTTGACTACCCCAAAAATGGTTTAGGTCCAGTCTGATCCGTTAGAGGCTGAAGCAAATTGCCGGAAGGTGACTGGTGACGTACTCTGCAACATGAGTTGTGGGCAAAAAATCGCCAGCAATTGCGAGTTTGTGGTCGTTGAGTCAAACCAAAACGAAAAGAGAAAAGAAAAGGAGAAGAAAAAAAGAAGAGAACCTTCAGGCGATTTCAAACCATTTTGCACCTTTCTAAAGGCTTGCAAGATTTCAAGGATGCGAGGAAAAGAAATTGATACCAACAACATATTCTTCTGTGTGTCGAGCTTTTAAATCTTCGCATGTGTTAAGGCTATTTGGTTAGTTGATAACAAGCAGTAAATGAGTGTTTTTTGAAGCTTGTGGGCAAAACGACTTTTCACTTACAACCTTATTCACAAAGTCAAAATATGATTGAGGTTGGGTTGATATGTTGGTTAGAGAGAGATTTGCTTGATGGGACCACTGCGGAAAATAATTTGCTTGATGTGACCATTTAGGTTTCATTTTACACGATGGGAATCTATGAACTATGCATCGTCACCCATGTTCTAATAACAACTAGAGAGAGTGCAACGAGTCCACCGCACCCGCAGACATAGTGGACTTCGCACTCCATCACACTCACTTGTTTTTATGTTGTCATTCTGTATCCGGCCACTCTCCAAGGAGATGAGCAAAGAAATGTTCATCCGGAATTTATTTGTTCGTCACAAATGGGTGATTGTGAGACTTGAGCAGGGTTACGGAAGGAGTGTGCAAGTGGGAGGCAACAGAGAAATACGCGAATCTTTGCGATGGGAAGAATTGAAGCACAACAAATTGCACTTCGAGCAAAATCGATCTTTGTCCCCGTGATAATCCACCAGAAATTATAACCAAGGATTGATCTTTGATTGTAATTCCCGCATTGTAACTAGTAGTAATCGTAGTTACAAGAACTATGTACGACGGCACACCGTCGTTGGTGTCCCATCGGGTAAAATTAAACCCGAGGGGTCCCATCAAGCAAATTACTTTCCGAAGGGGTACTATCAAACAAATCTCTCTAGTTAGAGATGATTATGTGACTTTTCACAAGTTACTGAGTGATTTTCATCTGTAGGGTCTATGGAAATCGAACCTCAACATTTTTCAGCATTCAGACATTTTCCAACCACATCAAAGTTTCTGATGACTTAAACCAAGGCACATGCTTACAAATATAATCTATTTTAGTCCAGAAAATGTCAGCCAATCTTTATTTCCACCACATCGATGATTTCGTGGACATCAGACAGTTGAACACCATTTCCTGGAGAGACAAATTTTGGAGTAACATTGGAAACAGACTTTTCTGACGCTGCAATTTAAGCTCAGAATATTTAGCAGGGCCAGTAGTTGTCCAGGATAAGATTTATGCAGATTGGTGTCCGCGAATTCAGGCTAACTCTGGTGGACCAGAAGTAGTGAATGTTGAAACTGAGGCTGGAGTTGGCGGAAGGACATCCAGGTCAGCAAGGCTTCGCGCATCACGCGAGCAGAGGCCGTGTCAGCGTTGTCAACGAAATGGTCAACATTAACGCAGTTAGCCATTGGTCTTGATAAAGCAGTCTTCATTTTCGTTCAGTGATCTGAGCCATGTCATCTCGGATCCTCCATTCTTAACGAATTGGGGTCCAGCTGGTCAACTATACTGTCAACGCAAATCTGTAAGAATGCCACGCACTGCCCCAACAGCAGCACAGCGGCGGCTTTATTATTGTCGTGACAGATCACGGCGGACCATGGAGTGAAGCTCTGGACTGGGCAGGGCAGCGCATCAGGTCAAGAGAGGTTCGAGCACGAAGCTTGAAACTGAGCTGTTTCCCTGCTCTGATCTTGCTCTCATCTGGGAATATTTGAGCTAGTGGTGGCGTGGCATCTATTTTGAAGTGCACGAGCATTTCCGTTCGAGGTGAACGCATCAATATTTGTCGCTACTGCCTATGACCTGTAAATGGTTGGAGTGATGGCATGGGAGCAACTCTCGTTCTCTGAAGTATGGCCAGATGGGCTCTCCCTTCGAGTTTTCGAAGTATGTGTTCCTGCTCAGTGATCTCGCGAGTGGTGCATCCGAATAATGTTCACAAACTCTTGACTGCCGTGGTCAACCAGGCAGTCAAGAGCTCGGTATAAACACATTCTCCAAAGCTCAGTAGCATACATCCTGATTGGTTGTAGTTCCTGCACATGAGCCGAAAACTTGGCTGCCTAAGTACATGGTAGAGTTGTTCATCTACCATGTACTTAGGCAGCTCCCTAAGATGCGTGCATGCTCGAGAAACTGACGACAATCCATTACATACCCAACACGAAGATACACATAAAATATACAGAAAATGAGCGAAACCTGAGAAGGAGAATTTTCACGATTTTTTGAGAAGAGCACGAAACTTCGTAACTGCCGGTTGTCACAACACTCTGATCCAAAATTCTCTGAACATTTTCTGATTTCCCTTGTGCTCGTCGAGGGATATAATTCCTCCTCTGAACCAACAGCTGGAAGTGTATGTTGCGCCAAGTGAGAAGATAATCACATTACACAGGCGCATCGAAAATTGAAAATTTGAGTAGGAATCTCTTGCTGAGGACAGAACATTTAGCGCCGAACCCCAAAGCGAGAAACCTAACAAGACTGAATTCTACCACATACAAGAGCGGAATCAAAATTTCGTCATGAAAGGGTACAAGTGATGATCGGCCACATCGAGGATGGGGCTGCGGCAGATATGCTGGCTCCGAATTCGAAGCTCGACGAAAAAGAGCATAAACGTGAAACTGGACTGCGTATCGGCAGCAAGCAGATGCTCATAACTTGATCGGTCGTTATCACAATTCGTCCTCCTTTTGGCTGCCAAAGCAGCAAAGCTCTCCAGGACTTCGCAGTTCGAGTTGGCCTGCTGGATATGTTGGAATGACTCGAGCTGAGAGCATTCCTCAGTCACCAGACTACGTCGAGCTTTGAAGGCTTGACAGCAAAAGGAGGAAACATTGAGATAACAAAGGAACAAGTTACGAGCATCTAGTCGAATGTCAACATTATGACATTGTCGGCGATCTGCAGCCAGCGGTCTCCATGTCCAGTCCGTCCAAATCAATCATGTGGAATAATCAAACAGGATCGACAGCCAAGGCCACGGAGATGTCCAGAATCAGAAAATTCCAACGGCAGCTCGTGTAGCTTGCAAGATCAAAAAAAGCAGAGCAGGTGATACGGCTCTCAAGGACCAAAATCGAAGGGCACTCTACTGTGCTAATTCAAAAACATTGCATCATGATGAGGATCAATCTGGAGAGAGATCAAGGAAGATTCATGGGTCCGCAGTCTGCAGTAAGGAAAACCGAGCCAGTCCTTGCCGAGGAAAACCTTAAGAGTGACGGAGGAAAGAGAGGGCAGGACTACTACATCGAGCAAGCTGTAAGACTTTCGGGGGAAAGAAGTTGCAGGCGAGCCAATCCATCGCAACTAGATGTGACACAAACGGAGGAGGAGGACCAAGCCTTTGACTTTCGGACCTGGAGGAATAACTCGTAGAGTTGGTGCTAACTTCCAATAGATGTAAATAAATACCTGCGAGAAACTACTGGGCAGCTGCACGGTGCAGATGATGTCCGGGCCAGGGCCGGTCATATAATTCCCGGGTCGAGAACTCATATTCTGCTGCTGTGAGCAGTACCGTCAGCAAGGATCTATTCATCATTGGGTGCCAAACTGCGTCAGGGGTTGAGCTCTGTCGTTTTATCCATATCCAGTGTCGAGGTCAACTGAGCTCAGCTTCGTGGCACCTTCGGTTTTGGTTGACTCGAAGAAACAGTGTTTGACGAACGCGAGCTTGTGAACTCCACACGCCCCAATTGCAACCTTCCTACAATCGGCTAATATTGTCGTAAAGTCCAGGTGGATTTATTCGAGTCCCAAGAGCTCTGGAGCTCAACGCTGAGCGTTGAGCTCTACTTCTTTTGTCGATTCGTCTCTGAAGGTTCCGGATGCACGTGTTGTCTAGGTAGATCTGTTTTCGAGTTGCTTCGCTTGATAATACGGGTGACATTCTCGACACATCTGGGGGCACGTGTTGCAAGTTTCTTGGCCTCGACGCAACTTCAAGTCTAAGTTCCAGGCTTTGTGTTTCTCGCGTTATCTTCAGCAGCTGTTTAAACAGCTGTCTTCGTGAAATTTGGTAACGCCGAGTTCGGTTACACCTTGAGTTACGAACACGAGGCCAGACAGTGACTGTGGTCAAGGCCAGAAGTGATACCGTCCAATCGCAGGACTTTGATCTCGCGGTGAGTCATGGGTTCCGAAACCAATTGATCTGCACTGGATACCGCCAGAAGGTTACTCTACTGATGTCACAGGCGCAAACCGCACGATTACATCCCTGATAAATATCGTTTCCACATCGAAGATATGATGATGATTCGACCTTTTATAATTCGAAACACGTTGGTATGTACAATATGTCGGGATTATTAGCACCTCTGAACTCTCAGCAGATCACCTGAGTTAGCTTTACACAATATCATACCCTGTGGACTACCGAGCTAGCTTGAAAAGATTATGGCTGGCTTCAGATAGGTACCTTTGAGATACACCTGACAGCATCTTCGACAAGGAAGTCGAATCATCTTCAGTCATTGAGTCAATCGAGTGTCTTTCGAAGCGATACGGGTTTCTGCTCCTGTATCACTTCCGTTGACATCGAAATATCACACAAAAGCACAAGAGATATACGGTGTGAGACCTCCAGGTATGTCACTCCAATCTAACATCCAGGTCAAATCTCGGATGTAATTAAAATTAAAACGACACAGAGAAGATTAGCATGGCCCCTGCGCAAGGATGATACACACAAACCGAGAAATGGTAATTCGTCTTGGTTCTGGATCACTCAAGAACCGATTTATTTCATTAGATTTATGCAATTAACACCTTCTATTTACACATTACGGGTTGTAGAGTGGAAAGAATAGGAAATTTGAAAACAGATTACAATTGAGCTTTGCTCTGTGATAATATTTGAGTCCTACAGGTAAAAAACGTGTGGTCAAAAGTCTCATAACTCCACGTCAATGAGTTAAGAAGAATCAGGTCATCTTTGAGAGCATTTGCTGTGATGGGAGAGATGCTCTACACGTAAGCTAAAAGTTTTCTTAACGTGAGACAAACCGTCTGCTCGAACCCTCTGCACTCGACAGTGTCACAATTACACCGAGAGCAGTGCCCTGTCGATGCAGCAGCAGCATTCTACAGCCAGTTTCACTTTAGAATCTTCGAAACTGTGAAAAACAGCATTGCTTCCTCTGAAATGCATGCGTTGTCCGAGTGCCAGGGACTGTGCGACCGAGTAGCTCTAGACTACGGTCGTCAGGTTGCTGCCACTATGGTTGGGAGGTTTATTTGCCACAGTAACTTGAATTATAAAACTAGTCCCTATCGACCATTCCCAATTACTGGACCAGTGATGTCTGCCTCTGTTGCACGTTAATGTTTCTTTCAGGTTTCGAACAATCACTACGAAGCTGTAGAAAGCCACAAATACATACAATGTCACGACGGAAGGTAAATTTTGAGCCAAGGTTGGGTCTCTGTACATCAGCAGCATTGAATCCAGAGAAGTTCATAGCTGGAACCAAACTGGAAATAAGTGGAGAGAATTAAGAAGCTTATCCATCCGTCCGGGTCAGAAGCCTGAAGTTACCTGTAAGAGGACTTGTAATAGAAAAGATGCACAGTATTGTGTCATGACCCGTACAATGCCATTGTAGGTGTCTCCCCAAGTTATGGAGCGCACTCCACAGTCATGTACATTACGGAGAGTGGAAGTCCAACTGAATGATGGAGCTCACTACGACTCTGTGCTTCCTTTAGTTGACCTCCAGAATTATCTCCTGCAATCTACAAACTACTGGCAGCGGCCACGTTGATATAAATTTGAACTCCACAAAGCGAATTGACACGAAGTTTACATGTTGACGTGCAGTAAGACAAGGTGCCTGTCCAGTTCTAGCTGTAATACCTTTTATTTCTTGGTCAATGATAGAACAACCATAGTTCTAGCTGTAATACCTTTTATTTCTTGGTCAATGATAGAACAACCATAGTTCTAGCTGTAATACCTTTTATTTCTTGGTCAATGATAGAACAACCATAATGGGAAAGCGAGACGATGTTCTAATATTTGCCATAGGCTTTAACTTCAAGGTTTAAAGGACTTTCGCATCTACTTATCTCCATACTCGAACGGCCGATCGATCCCGATAAGGACAGGCGGAACGATGCATGTTTAATAATCAAATCCAAATATTTGCTATTTCTCATATGTCCCAGATGAGATTTCTGGTTTTCAAACGTCTTACATGGCTGTACTCAGAATCCGAAACCAGTGGACACAAGTCGGCCTCGCGGATCTTTCCAGTGTCTGGGAAGCTAGTCTTTAGCTGGCTTTGTTAGTTTGAAGTCGTAATGATACTCGTTTTCTGGAAACGTGATGCTCGGTGTCAGGGCTGGCGATCTTGGACATAACGTCAAATTTGGAGTCGGCACGACTTCTGTCGCTTACATATCTATCGTCTTATCAATTAGCCTTGAGGAAAATTCGAAAGTGGATTCCTGAACGAAGGGAAGATGTACATATGCGCATCAAAGCTGTTATGGGAAATGACATGAACTTCTGGCCCCAGGACATAGAAACCGTGAGGAAAAAATTCCATCCCGAGACTACGAAATGTCTTACTCGGTCATCGGATTTTCCTGTCACCCACTTGCGCTTGCACTAAACTGTCACACATAGAGACAAGGAAGATACAGAAGCTGAACCTGCTGTGTACCAATTTACAAGTCTCGGCCTTGAATCTCTTCAACGAGTCCATAGGAAGGAGGCCCAACCCATATGGGTATTTCAACCAGCTAAATCGAACTCCACTGAGCCGAGAAAGAGTGTATGACGAGAGGATCCATCCGAACGAGGTATACATAATCTGGGCGTCGTACCCAGTCTCTGTCCACAAACCTCGGAACAGTGTTGGCGGCAGATCTTACCCAGTTCCAAGCGGATGAGGGTCGATGAACATGAGAAAAGAGGAATGGAGGAGACTTCAAACGCAGCAGAACACTCAAGAACAGTTGCCGCAAATTCTGGGGTCAGATGCAGTTGTGGAGCTCACCGGAACAACAAAGCATCAGCAGTGCCTTCGTGAATAAGATCCGCTGAAATTTTAAGGTACATGCATCGCCAATTTCAGGCCAAGGCCATCTCGGAAGCAGCGCCAAAAGCGCTAGTCATGATCTACAGCGGCAAGCTCGGTTAGGAGGAGATCTAATCATCAGCTCGAGCAGCGAATCTCTTGGTCAGCCTTGGCAATCATCAAAAGTTGACACTATTTTGCTGGTTGACAACGAAAAAGTCGGTCTTTCAGGCTTCCATCGGGGGCGAGGCTGGTTGGCAAGAGGACGCTTCTACTCGCTTGTCCCGACGTGTCATCGTTTACCGACAAAGCCCAATCGCTCCGGGTCAACGGATTGAGGCGCATGCCAACACGTCGGAGCGAGCTTCGAACACGAACAAGCGCACCTGCTAACAGCTGCTCCATCCATCGCTCCGTTGCCAAGAGCTCTCCTTTTCAGATCGGCGCTACGGGACATAGCGAGGCGAGTGCAACTCCAGTGCTAAAGATAAATCTGCCGAGCTGACTCGGCGATGAACCGAAGTTTAAGTGATGGTGGCTTCGAGCTGCATGCACCGAACTCCGCCAGGGGGGCTCCAGGGCCGGTTGTAGTACACTGGGGTAGTACATGCTGCAGTACCGATGTATAAGGGGAAAGTAGTACTGGTGCGAGAACAGAAGGATTATGTGCACAAAACGCTTCGAGCATCTGAGACCACGAGTTCGGTTCCACTTATGGAAGGGAAAGATCGGAGTGGCAATCGTCTGTTTTTCCTTCTAGAATTAGCCCAATCGGTCATACCATGACCTGCTCAGCACCTGGACCTCAAAGCCCGCCCCAGCACTAGGTGAAGCTCTATTGCAGAGGACAAGAGCTTACCTTTTCAGCCTGCAATAGGCATTAATTAGTCAGTCCCATAAAATAGCTGCTCGGCCTGCCATAGCTAGGGACGGAACCTCGTTGCTGTCAGTCGGCCTGAACGTCGCTTAATGTAGTGAAGGGACAGTGTCGAGGTTGAGGCAAGGTAGCGAGCGGGCGTCGATTCTCATTGCAGGTGATGGATCGAGGCTGCGAAAAGCCAAGCTCAAGATTCTTCTCCAAATCGTGGAAAATTTCCTCATCCGACTACACCGGAATGCTCGAGCACCAAACTTGGACAGTTATGACGACGCGCGAGCTTCGCTAGATGCACGACAAACTTCGCCGTCCTTGCCTTAATCGCGGCTACAATACGCCTACTGTCTCACTGTTCCCTGCTCTAGTAGCGATGGACATCCTGAAGCAGAAGTAGGAAGAGCAGTCAGCACAACCCAGCGGCACAAGAGCAGAGACTGACATCATCCGCGAGGCCTGAGGCTCGGCTAAAGCTGGCTTGCAGGGCTAACTCTCGATCATGGAGCTGCTGATTGCAATCTCCGCCCCTCATGTGCAAATAGGTCCCCAGTTTGTAAGGTTTTCAAAGGCAGAACTGTGTGGTCAAAGAAGCAAGTGTTGCACTGCAGCTCGACCAACACTTCTGCTCGCAACTGCACTTAGCATCCGCATGAACCCATTATGAAAGAACGTGATCATTTGACTCGAATGTGCAGATGCACATTTTGTTGTTCGGATCAGCCATGCACCTGTTAATGACAAAGCAGCAGGATCTGATCTGCAGCATGATGATGTGTTTAGTTTGTGTCGTCGTTTTGCCCCTTG